AATAGATCTTTTCGAATGGAAATTAAATATACAAAGAAGCAAACAAGTGAAGTTGCTGTTTAAAATTTCATTCAATATCATTTCAACCATTTATTCGTCTCGCACTTTGAAGTGAATTTATTATTATTTAAACTTATTTAATTAGGGAGCATGATTTTGATCCAAGTTCATTTAATATTTTATTTCTATTTGTACGTTAAGAATTTAAATCATTTCTTTCCTGTTTTTTTTTCCTGTTCTCTCATTCTGTGCATGAAAGTGATTTATTTCCGACGCAGCTAAAATAACATGAATAGTTTTCAATTTGTTACACAATTGATTCTTGTCTAACGAACACAGGAAATGTCTAAAGAAAAAAATTGTCATCGGTACTTTGCTGTAAGTAAAAAAATGCCGAAAGGTTAGTGCCTTTGAAGAGATTTTTCTAAAAATTCATATAATATCTAATTTTGAATGTCCAATAATTTCTAAATACGTTTGTAAAATTGAGCTAAAACTTAGACATAAAAGAGAACAAACTCCAAAAAACAATGAATGAATAAAATAAAGGAACAAAATGCTTCAGATGTAAAGCGCCACTGCGGAATGTGTCGGCAACACGGAATGCTTGTAGAAACACGTGGCCATCATTGTAAACGGAAAAATTGCAACTGCTTAAGAGTAAGACATATATAGCCTAATGATCTTCTTTTTAGCTAATGACCAGAATACCAATTTGATATTGTTGAAATTTGCCAGGGCCAGTTGGGAATTTCGAAGTGTTTTTGAATGTCATTTTGATCCATAAATAAATAGCAAAATGGAAAGTTATAGGTAGCATGAAAATAAACAGAACAAAACATTACTCAGCATTTAAGATATAATTTATAGCAATAATTATTTCAAAGAACTATTATATTTGCGTATTTCAGTGTTTGCTCATACGTCAACGTCGAAAAATTATGAGTACGCAGATCCGTATACGCCGTGCTCAAGATAAAATATTCCAACGTACTTCGGAGCTCACTCAAGCAACTATCACTCCTCAGAATTACTTTGATAAAAATGATACAACAGTAAGTTTGTTTCTGTGTTAAGTGAGTACTCTAAATAAGATCTAGCTGATTATCTAAGATTGTAAATAAATATAAAAAAATTAAAAATGAGCTTTTTGCAATATATTTCCTATGTAAGTACGTCCTTTCCCTATTCACGTCACGTGAGTGATTCGTTGTTTTCTATCCCTTTTTTAAAACAGTTGGATTTTGATCGGCTTTTTTTTAAAGCTATAAAAAAATAAAATTTATTGTAAGATTGTTAAAAAAGTATCAATGATTATGTCATTTTTAGTTTAACTTATTGTTAAAATGTTTCAGACATATCATCTTCGAAATGCAACTAAAACAAATACTATAACCCAAAATCAATGCTACATTTGTCAGAAATGCAAAAATCATGGTGTTTTGGTATGGAAGAAGGTGAACTGTTGTTTTTTTTTTGCAAAAGTTTCAAAATTTTCATGAAAGAATAAATTAATTAAGATTAAAAGCGCGTTTCGCATTTTTTAAATATTTTTGGAAATAACGAATATTCTGAATAAAAAGGTAGATTTAGGAACATAAACGACATTGCTTGTATGCAAACTGCAAATGTGATCAATGTGAATTGATTGAAAAGAGGCGGAAATTGGATCAAATTTTGAAGGCCTCAAAATTTAAATCAAATGAACACGAAAAAGAACGGCAAAAGCGTAAGTAATACTTTTATTCATTTAATTTTGCACATATTTTATAATATTGTAATGATTCATTTTTGCCACCGTTGTACATTTGTGCTTGTTTGTAGGAAAAAACAAATCGTTTTAACATCATACTCAATCTGAAATCTAAGATTTATGCACAAAGAGAGCAAGAGAGAGAGAAAGAAAGAGGGAAAGAAAATCGTTCACTCATTTTGAGCTTTTTTCTTAGATGTGCCAATATCAGTAAATTCAATTTCCGATTCAAATATGCTGCCGATTGTCAACTTCGATAATCAGTTGTCAAGGCAAACTTATGATCAAGATATTGCTGAACTATTAATTCCTCAATTGGAGTCATCATCTTATACGGTAAACCAATAATTTTCTAAAAGTTAATAATTATTCTTGATGAATAAGATATTTGTTCAAAGTCTCAAATGTTTAAATATATTCTCATTTGAGAAGTTTCGGTGGAAAAGTTTTCAAATTGATTAAATAAACTTAAATTTAAGGAAATCAATAAATTGTAGAATTCTTCTCAATTTCATATATAAAACTTTGTTAAACATTTAATCGACCGGTGAAACGTAACCAAAAGCCATATTGAACATTTACATAAAATTTTTACAATTTCGAAAAAAAAATCACAAAAACTACAAAACTCTAAAACTTAAAAACTGCCTTACTTAGAAGAACCTTTAACTGATCGGTAATTGATATTTAGTTGCTGAAAACAACACCTCAAACGAACATATCAATTGTAACCTTCGATGAATCCAAGAAATCCGATACAGCACCACCGAATAATCTGGTATATCCCATACCACTCAGGCCACAATCTTTTTTATTACCTATGCCGGTGGTTTGTGATTTTTATAGTCCAGTTGATGTAATTTTAAATGTAATTTTAAATACTCTTGCAATAATGCAATTTACACTTGGCACTCTTTAACTATCTAAAGTAACTGTATATGTAAAATCCAATCAAAGTTAATTTACACTCCTGGAATTTCTGCCTCATATAAGCAGTTCTTGAACTTATCTTTTGAGAGGCAAACAATAAGAACACTCTAATTTTCTGTGAACATTAACATTATGAATAATCACTGAATTGATAGTAAAACTTCATTTGTTTTTTTTAATTTTAAAAATAAAATCATGATGAATTTTTTTTCAGTCTTCACCAAAATCTAACTATATTCATAGATTTTTCATCATATATTCATAATGCAAATATTTGCTATCAATTAATAACTATTATTAGTTTTCATTAAAAATGTTGTAAGAATGTGCCATACTATTTTATCTCTAAAAGATGTAAAAAGATTACTAAGAAATTGTGAGAATTTTTCTTTATTTTTCCAACTCGAACGAATGGCAGGTTTTCACATGCAAGAAAATCAATAAATTTTTGAATTTTTGAGGAAAAAATTTGAATATGAAAATTTTTTAAACAAAACTAAATCCGAACTAGCAAACGGTCGTTTTTCTTGCAATCCGGTTTGTTCTAAATCTTCTTTGCTTTGTAAACTTAGCCATTTAAACATTTTATTGTTAACATCAAAGACATCTTTGACTTCCATTGTAATTTCTTAATACTTTAAATCAATTTTATACAAATGCTTTCTTCATCTATCATTTAATCATAAATAACCCCACTGCACAAGTTTTTTATTATTGACTCCAGAGCTTTTATATCTTTTTTTTGAAAAACTTAAAAAAATTTTTTATTTGAAATGTGTTTGAACAAAAATCTGTATTTTCATTTCATGAAAGTTCAGTATGTTAATTCGAGGAAATGCAAGTCTTCAATTCTCATAACCAATTAGTAATTACAAACACAACAATTTATTCATTGAAACTGAAGTCGAGATTCAGAGTTAGTCAATGTTGGAAATTTTTGATTGTACAACAGGTCTAAGAAACGGAATAGAGCGATGACAGAGCGATTTCTAAATAAACAAATGAAGAAGATGACAGGAAATCTGCTGGGAGAAATTGAACCTGTTATCTCAACCGTTTCTCTTGTAATATTTTTACTTTTTTCACTTACCTCAATAAAATACCTACCTACCATTTCACTTCCGTCTTAACGCTCGGAATATTTATCTCTTTCGTACCTCTTTCATCCTTTTCCTAATTCAATTCAGTGGGATCACGACGCCTTTGTATTATGGAAATTTCCTTATAATGATTTAAAAATGTCAACTATGATTGATTTTTAAATTTGATAACGACGTGATTGATGGTGATATAAATTCTGTAGTTACGTGAAAAACCAAATGTGAGTAACGAGGGGAATGATTACGATGAAGATGAAAGTATAAGAGATTCGGAGAAAATAAGAAAGAAAAAAGAAGGCCGTGGACGGATATTATCAAAACTTCGAAACATTGGCCGACGTGTGAAATCACGTATTCGACGTGAACAGTCAGTATCATCACAATCAACGGAATATGATTTTGGAAGAGATGAAGACAACAAATCGGAGGGCATAAAAATTGAGCAAGCTGAAAGTGAGTACACGGAAACACCAATGCAAACCACCGATGCAGTATCATCGGATCAAGAGTTGGTTAGTTTTTTTTTATCTCCTTAGCTTTTCAAAGTGGAAATTTTTGATTAAACATTAAGTAGATCTGTCACTTATCATCCATTTTATAGTGTGTTATCATCCATCTAATTCATTTTATATACTTCTCAGCTTATAGGAATACGAAATAACTCACTCAACAGATGGCTCGTCTGACAGTATCGCATCACGTAGGCACCGGATAGTTGTTAGTGGTGATAAAATAAACCAAGAAATGACTAAAGTGGAAGATGTGAAGGAAGATGACGATCCTAACGTGTTGCAATTGTTTACTGTAAGCTTCAACATTTATTGAATTAAAAATTGCACACCATTGTCGTGAAAGTTTTTTGTTAGCTTTATTCTAACAGATTCTTATGAGGTATTCAGTAGAGGGATTGCAACTCTTTTTGTTGAAATGTTGGTCCTTTGATTATGAAATAAGAGCTGAGTCCTATTCCAATGTGGTTGGTTGTAGCAGAAAAAGATGTGAAGACACGCGTTGAATTGTACTTTATTGCAAGTGAAACCCATTCAAACTTGGGTAATTAAACCCATAACAATAATAAAAACGCAATATTAATACACGAAATAA